CAGTGTTGATCAGGGTTGGGCATAAAATGTAGATAAAGCAGTGTAATTCAGAAACACCAAGCTATAACTGTGTTGCGCTGATAATGATAGCAAGCAGAATATTGAATATCCTGGTTGAATTTGGTGCATAAATTCTATTTAGAGGTAGGTAAACTCTACATGTCATAAATAAGAGAGGTGTGTAAAACACATTTAAATGCGTCTTGCTCAGATACCCACACCCCAGACAAACCTCCTCCCCCACACTTTTAAAAAGCTTGATACGGCCCTGTTTGTGAGGACACTCATTGACATAATGCATTCCCTAGCCCCTTACACTAACACTTAACCATCAGAACTAAATGCCTAACCCACCCCGACCCTTACCCTAATACTTAACCTAAACCTAATTCTAACCTGAGCCCTAAAACTAAGTTTTAACCTTTTAATAAAAAAACACTGTTGGTCTTCACTATGTAGCAAGTACAAGAACACACACACACACACACACACACCTACCATCCTGATGGGCCTGCAGGAGCCCATATGATCATTATGGCCATTCCAGCACTGAAATTCCGGTTACTCTCCATGCTCCAGAATGTACTGACCTTTAAAATCTGGGTGGTTGAAGCAGACGAAGGCTCCATTCTTCAGCTTCCTCTCAGTGAAACATTTTCCCTCATAGAACACAATCTGTTTGTTTTTGCCACATCAGTGAAGTTTAAAATATTTTTCTCCTAACCTGTACAGAAACACTGCAAAAGGGTTATATCTGAGTAACACTCAGCTACATATCATTAGAAAGATATTCTGCAAAATGCCATTCAGTAGTGTTAAGCATTCCAGTCAGCTACATACTTCTTTGTGACTGACCTGCATAGGTTTTTGCCACCTGGACAGTTTTTTTTACATGTGCCACTGCTGATATTGGAATTTGACACAGGAGGCCAAAACAATAAAGGGAGAGGCTTTTTGCTTTGACTGGGCTTTAACAGTGACTTTGCACAGAGTTGGGGTTGCAGAGTAATATTTGAAGAGACGAGGAGCAAAACAAACAGAGAGAGAGAACAAGATGAAGCAGAAGTGAAAGAATATGAATGACCGAGCTCAAATAACAAATCTATCTTCTGACAGTTGAGCTAGTAACTGGGAAGAAAACCACTGAGGTGTGGTCCTAGTCATTTTTGAACTTATCTACAGAAATCCCTCCAGCTGCTCTTTTGAGATCCCGCTCTGTTACAGTTTCTCTGCTGCTGATCACTGGACCAAGTTAGACCTTGACCTATGAAATTTTCAGAGAAGACTCTCAGTTGCAGTATCAAAAACAACCACACTGGAGCAGAATCAAAACTAATAAAATTTGTTTCTAATGCACTGACGTTAGACCCCTCCCTCCATCTACAGTGGCACAGATAAAACATACAATTGGAAATGACTTATGGCACTTGAGTGGATTTTCATACATCAAAGAATGACTTGGTTTAATTTTATATTAAAGCAGTCATTGAACAATTAAAGTAGCATTTGTCTCAGGTGTGTAGATTCAAAAAGCACATGGGCATTTGCACTTTATGTAAACAAATGTTTGCCCATTTGTTCGTCAGTTAGCTTCTTTGTTTCTTGGGATTTTCTGTCTGTTTGCAGGATTTACACCAGATAGATTCTTTAAAAAAATAATTTGTAATGTAAACTATTCATGCATTTCAAAAGTTTTTTATTTGCATTTTGAATTGGACTTAAGTAAAAATAAAGGGAGGTAAAATTTCTTCTACACCAAAGAAAATATTTTAGTCTTTTAATAACCAATGGCTCAGATGAGTGTTGCAGCCGGTTCTTGTCTTTCACTAGATATTAAGTTCAAGTCATTTTTAACCTTTGACGGTTGTGTATATTGGTTCTTTTCATGTCTGGTGGCAGTGTTGGTGAAAGAGCACAAGGCCAAAGATTTTACACCTCATATGTCTGACAGAATCCACCTAATGCAAACATACCGAACATACCTTCGACTAACATCCTCTTTTCCTCTTAAAGTATGAACCACACAAATATAAAACTTTATGTGAGTTTCTCCCAAATGGATGCATTAAGATTTGCAAATATTTTGCAAGTTATATAAAGGAGAGGACAAAGGGTGGACAGCTCTTACAAAATGCAGGAATCAGCATTGGGAAACTGTGACCCCTGAACATAGTTTACCCAAGGCGAGTGAGATGCAAAGTATATAGACTTAGCTGAGATACACCACGTAATGGGATGTTGCCATGACAAGACAAAGTATGAACAGGTATAAAAAGTGGGAACGTTCGTGAACACATGTCAGTCATTGGCAGACATCAGGACAGAAAAATCATCAAGGTATGTTCACATAAATCTATGCTTGATTTTGTTTTGTGTGCTTAACTTTTTCCAAATCTTTACAATTATCCTTAAAAACAAGAAATACCAAATCAATACTATCGCAAAATTTTTTTCACATATTTGCTACCAAATGTCAGAATGATAGTTAGTGCTGCCAGTTCACAGCAAGAAGGTTCTGGGTTCAAGTCTCAGCCGACCCGGGGCCTTTTTGTGCAGATGTTGCATGTTCTGCGTGCCTGCATGGGTTCCCTCTGGGTGCTCCGGCTTCCTCCTACGGTCCAAAGACATGCAGCTTAGGTTGATTGGTGACTCTAAATTGCCTGTGTGGGTGTGTGGTTGTTTGTCTACATGTCAGTGATGGACTGGCGACCTGTCTAGTACACATCAGTTTTTGCTGTGAATTTCTATATTTACACTCCATACAGTATATTCCCTTCAGTTTTTTAAAATCATAAGAAAAGGAATGAAAAAAGTTATGCCAAAATGTTTTGTGCCATGAAATCTGTAGTGCTGAAAATACAGTACATATTGTGTTATCAGAACAGTGCTTAATCTCTACCAGGCTGCAGTACTGAGCAGAACAATGAAGCTGCTGGTCTTGGCTTTAGCCGTCACCCTGCTGTTAACAGCCGGTGAGTCTGTCACTGATTCTCCACTGAATAAACACAATGTCTGCTGCCGTGCAACAGGGAAGCCTGTTTTCTCTTTTCTGCACAATAGCACAATCTCAACAGACCTGTCAGAAACTCAAAGGCAGTTCAATTCCCTTGACAAGACTGTAGTCTAAGAAATTAAAGTAATTAACAATTAACTTACTTGTGATGGCCATAACACAACATCACCCTTTTTGGTTCCACCCCCCTCCTTTAACATCTAAGTAGACTAAATAGCAGGCAAATAGTTTGTCCCAGGACAGATTCTTACAATCCTTACCATCAGACACACCTAGATCATAAAGAGTAAAAAAAAAAAACAATGTCTGAAATATTTTATTGGTGTTTTTGTTTTCAGGTGAAGCCCTGAACTGTCACCGCTGTGTCCCTAAAAAGGCCGGAGGAGCCTGTGAGCTCACTGTAGAGACTTGTAAACCGGAGAAGGATTGCTGTGCTGCTGCCAGGTTCTTGAGAGAACCATGTGAGTTTCTCAAAACACCAACACTATTTTATCATTCACAAATACATGAACTCAAAAATGACAGCAGTTAAGCAAAAAATGTTTACTGAAAAAAAGCATTTACATGTCTAACAGTGCACCAAAATGACAAAGCTAGGGGCAATGATGGGGAATTAAATGTATTGTTTTTACTGTTGAAAGATGTTGATCAGTTCATTAGACTTCCTGTGGCAAAGCAGCATTAGGTAACAGTAGCAGAATGTCAACCACTTGTCTAATAACCGAATGTCATATGCTGAATTGTCCACATCCACGAGAACACATTGTCTCTTCTCCAGTGAGGTGCTTTTTGCATAATAAGGGGTAGATTTTTGTTAAAAGCCAACCTGTTCCATTTTTTTTTTCTTTCTCAGATGGACATTACCAGAAATGCATGGCTATGTCTGACTGTGCAATGCTGGCGATGAATGCCTACATCGATATTAATTGCTGTAGAGACGACATGTGCAACACCCTTTTAAAATCCCATTTAGAACCAGAGAACATGACAGTATATTGAAGTGCCTTTGAGCAAGTTATTTATCCCCCAGTGACTGCTGCAGGCAGAGGTGTGAAGACCTGTATGAGCTCAAGCTGTTTTTTTTTTGTTTTTTTAAAGAGAACAAGCTATAAGTCTCTTAACTTGACAAATAAAGGAGCATGTGACTGGACTCATTCTTCTGGAAATCTTCTGCTGTCCACTGTGGTCCTGAAAAGTATCAGGATTCAGAGGGTTCATGTTCAGGAAAGAGTTGGAAAATCTTATACATTCTTTCATTTCCAGTAGTTTGGTTTACTGCAATGATCTTTTCTCAGGTCTCTCTGTTGGCATTCGAGTTAAAGAAAACAATCACACAGAGGGAGCCTAATTATTTTGCTGCAAAGCGCTGGAGAAAACTTTGGCTTTACACTTAATCATTAGACCATCGTCTTCCCTGCACTTTCATCTCGCACCATCTTCAGTTTACTTTAAATGATCAAACCTTGTAGCTAAAGTAAAATACACACTCCGCCCTGTGTTACATAACCACTTTTTGCTTTAATGATTACAATCAAAAACATTTGTACAACATTTTCAACATTAGAAAATGGATGCAGTTTTTTTTTTTTGGCTGACAGTAACTGCTCTGAAAACAAACTGAGGGACAGTGAAGAGGGTACCGCGTGGAGATGAAGTAAAAAAAGAGCTGTATATGAGAGGGACCAATCAACTGCTGATGTATCAGAAGAAATGTCCATGTTTACATATCCAATTTCAGAGCATATGCAGGGCAGACATGACAGTTCTCTCATCTTATTTAAACAGAGAAGGGCTTTTGGCCTATATGAAAGATGCATAATGAGAAGCTAAGATGCATCACCCTACTACTATCTCTGGCCTTAGTTAGGGGTATCATCATTACCAAGCACAGGAAAAACATTTTTTCTGATACACCCAAAATAATGCAGTGGTGCCGAGCACAGCGATAAAGGACAGGTGGACTGTGGGAAATATGAGACAAGGAAACCACCACTCACCCTTTTTTTTAATCAAACACACAAAGAAAAACAAGGATGACAAATGGGAATAGGAAATACTGATAAATAACAGTGGATTCAGAGCCATAAATAGACAGTATTGGATATTTAGGACCCTGTGGAAGGGGTGGAGTCAGCTGAGGTGAAGGAGAACTGGCAGCTAGCCTTCAAGTAACGGGATATCCCAGTGCAGTGTCCTGTGTGTTGATTGGGCGGCTCTACATCATGGAGCAGGACGTTTTTCCTGGCTGCACGCCGCCATCCATTTTCTCTGCCTCCAGGATCATCCTCCGGAAAACTTCCACGGCCGTCTGAGGAAAAAGATCACACAAGACATACACAACACGCTGTCACATGTCTCAGGCACACCACTTTGAATTTTCCAGCAGTACACACAATACATGGCAGTGGCTCCTTGTGGTGCTTTAGGCACAACAAAGATTGCATTGTTTTTATGTAGCTCTAAAGACAATCAAGCAAACTTACTTAATTTGAACCAGTTTAGTAAACTTCCTGAATATGAAGCTTATCTATGGGGGAGCCAGAAAATGTAAAGATGGTTTCATAGATTTGATTTCTGCTGTACAAGTAGAAAGTGTGTTTACAACTAGCTTATCTAAAATCAACAGAATAGTGGCAGGTTAACCCATTGTTAAAACTGGCCACTTGGGGGCAGCACAACAAGCTCTAAACAGAACACTTACATACAGTATTATCCTGTTATAAATTTTATATGGTTACATGTCTGAAACACTGGCTTATCTACACAATGAGGAGACAAGGAGCAACATTAACATTCACAATTGTGCCCATCTGACAAAATTAAGCCCAGTATTCACTCTTTTAGCTATGCTTTGCTCTCCACCAACTCCTGAAAGTAATATCTGGCTCTTTAGCTGCTAAACTCGACTTACTCGACTTTGTCTATGTGGTGTTTAATATGCTTACTCGACTTTGTCTATGTGGTGTTTGGTGTTTGGCTGCTAGATAGTGTACTGTGGGTTTTTAGAGCATTCTCACTGTAAACTGCTACCCACTGTAGATGTAAACAATGCTCAGGGAGCCAAACAATAATGTTATAAAATAAACCAGTGAGTGAAAAGTCACTAAAACCCTTCACAGTTCTGTCCCTAGGTCTGGTCAAGCTAATGCTGGATCCTTCACTTCCTAAAATGCAATCTGATAACATCATATCGCCCGTCTAGTGAGTGTCTTTCCTTCTCCGTGTGTTCAGACTGTAACACAGGTGTTCTGTTACACATTTCTAGTTTGTAAGTCCAAACAAAGAAATGATAAATAACCCTCATGACATCATCAGCGTTATTATATTTAGACTGGAAAACTCCCTTCAGAGTCACAGCAAGTGCTATAGAACTGTTTTCACAGACTGTGTAGCGCTCCTTATGATGACTGTGTAACTTTATATGAGCCCTTTGTCAAAGTATCAATGTATCCATCTTTACAGTATCTACACTCATTCTTTAGAGGGTCATGGGAGCTGGAGCTGTCACTGGGCAAGAAACAAAGTAGAGGAAATGTTGCTGATGTATAGAGGAAGACAACCCACACTAGCATATGAACATGCCAGCTCACAGAGGGGCCCCAGCTGGCCGGCATCTTGCTGTGAGGCGACAGTACTGCACCACCATACTGTATATGTTTTTGAACCCAAAATGTAATTGTATTTGGGTACTTTTTCAAACAGATAAATAGGCCTTGAAAACAGTCAAATCCGTATTTGATGTGGAGCAATCTTCTATACCTGGTTCTCTTTAGCTGAGGACTCCATGAAGGCAGCGTTCCAGGATTCAGCTAACGCTTTTCCCTCTTCACAACTGATTACTCTGAAGAAAAAAGTTCACAAAGACAGCAGGCAATTATAAACAAATATTTCACATTAAGGCTGCAGTGCTGAGTTTGACTAACCCACAGTTTAAATACTAGGAGATATGTTCTTATAAATGGGTCCGTTGACTTGGTCCTGAGGAAGCTTCATTTTAAGGACTATACAAACATAGAAAGACAAATTTTAACCCACTAGCCTAATGCAAATGTCCATCTTCTTTTGGGACATCTAGGAACCTAATATTCACATATACTCTGTATTTCTGTCTCTGCCATGTGTCAGGAATGTGTAGTTTTCCATTCTGCCACCAAAAGTGTGCTAAACTATGAAAAACTGAATAGAAATGAAGGTTAAAATGATCAAATTTGTTCAGCCATCTGTAGTGGACCTAATGTTCAATTTGAGTGTTTTTAGGATGTACCGTTCCATATGTAGGTCGTTCTTGTTTCCGACAAGCATAATTGGTACTCTGCAAGGGAGGGAAAGTAAATGGCACGTTGTCACTCATGCATGATTTATTGCACGTCTTGGGCCGTAAAATTAGAACAGATGATACTCACTGGACTTTTCCCACCATGTCCAACAGTTTTTCATGGATAACCTGAACAACTTCAAAGCTGAAAGAAAAGAGGAGGACGTTTCTTCTTCAGCACTCATAAACCACCTGCAGTCCAACCTATTATACAGAGCTGAACACATATTTATTTAGTTTTAAAAGGGGGGATAAAAGTTTACCTTTTATTAGATGTAACTGAATAGACCAGAATGTAACCATTGATATCTATGGAGTAAGTCTGTGGGAAGATGGAGTACTCATCCTGGAGAGACAGCAAATGTGAAGAAATTAGTAAGCAATATTACAGGTTGGAACATTATCATAACAATACATATTTGCATAAAAATGATTCAAGTCAGCATCAAGTCATACCTGTCCTGCTGTGTCTACCAGTTGAAGATGATACTCTTGTCCATTTATTGTGATCATTTTAGTAAAGGCTGCAGTTAAGAGAAAAGATCAATTAGAAATTAACCAAAAGAAAGACAGACAGACAGACAGACAGACAGACAGATAGATAGATACTTTATTGAACCTGATGGAAATTCAGGTATCCAGTAGCAATGACAATAGTTAACAAAATAAAGAAATGTATAAAAGCGTAAGTCTAAAATACCAAAAATAAGTATAAAATTATAAAATGTAAATAGAGTTAACATGTACCAAGTATACAGTATACATAAGGTAGACATGATAAAGTAAATGTGCATAAAGTACCTGTGTGCAAATACTTTAACTGATGGCAAGCAAGAAATCTCCTTTCAAAATAACACAGCAAAAACAGCACATAGAGTAACAAAGCTTCATACAGTACACAGCCAACTGCATCTTCATTAGTGTATGCCTCCAGATACTGAGACGTACAAGACACAACCTAGTTATGGATCCATTTCGGTTTGCATGGGACCACCGAGTTCATTTGGCACAAGAATATCAATATGTGCCTGGAGATGGGTCATATTATCTACAGTGGCACTGAGGAATTGCACTGCCTGCAGCATCTTACTGATAACGCTGACACTTCACTCTACATTAACCATCCAGAAATTATTTATAGATACGGACCACACATCTGAGAAATGCAGGGTGGTATGTGAGCAAAAATTAGGGGAAAAAGAGAAACAGCCTACAGGTAAAGTTTGGATTCAAATCTCCAGAGTGTCTGGGATCGTGTGTTTAGGAGTTGATAGATTACTGTACAGTGTGTTCTCTCCTTTGGCAAAATGTGCTGTTAAAGTACCTTCAAGCAAGGTTCCCTTTCTAAGGTGGAGCCAGGGACGTCCAGGCTTATACCCGTCAGAGAGTAAGCAGGGGTTTTTTTCAGGCAAACACTCCAGCTGATTTCTGAGTTCTTCTAGAGAAGGTTCTTCTGAATGAAAGTAGGCAGCAGTGTTTGGACATATTGGCTAGGAGGGAACAGTGCACATTGGGGGGGGGGCACTGGTGTGGTGGGTAGAGCAGTCGTCTGCCAACCAGAAGGTTGAAGGTTCAAATCTCAGTGCCTGCAGTCCACGTGTCAAAGTGTCCTTGGGCAAGAAAGACACTGAACCCTCCAAGTTGCCCGTGATGGCGGCACATATACATGCAATGGCCCAAGGCCCCTCGGCTCCAAACAAAATTTCATTGTACGTGTCACAATAAAATAAAGCTGCTGCTTCTTCTTCTTTTAACTGAATCAGCTCATAGAGTTTTCATGGCATACAATTCAGATGTCTACATTAATGGTTCTGATGAAGATGAACATCAGAGGTTCAGGAGCAGAATCATGCCCCTCACGCACACCTTCCCCTGCTACCTGCCTACAAATGCTTCCACTCTCTGCCTACAGAGTGCTTTCATTTCTCATAAATGGTGGCTGCAGTCTGGTCTGAACCATGCTCACCTTCCATAACCGTTCGTGAACTCGTCTCCTGTTCTACTTCAGCAGATGTATTCCTGCCCCTCGTGCATGGTCTTC